ATTTGGAAGCAACGTTTATGAGAATTAAGATAGGATTTGAGTGATGTGACAGATTAAACAAAATTATTCCAAAATCCTCTCTCACCTACCTTCCAAATCCATTTAAATAAAAACAAAAAAAAAAATATTTTCAAATCTTCAAATTCATTCAATCAATCCACCCCAAATCCATCAAGTGAAAAAAATTCTAAAAGAAGTTAGACAGCCTTTAAAAAGTTGTCAAACAATTTTTAGAGAACTTAAAAGTAGATTTAACGTCAAAAAATTGGGGTCAAAATGAACCTTAAAAGGGAACAACAAAAGAAGACTGAAAACAAGCTAAGTAAAATAATATTTTAAATTTTTTACACCAAGTTGGTTTTGGACTAATAGCTGATGTTTAGATTGCATGCATTGTGTTTCTTTTTAGGTTCACCTCTCCAAGTTAATCCTTTCACTAATAAAATCTGAGGCTAAATTTCATGTTCCTTAGTCTGGACACAGTTATACTCTACCATGAAATGTGCTTAGCATTGTTATAATCTTTTAGATTCTCCAGAACTGCACTGCATGATGTATTATAAATATCTAGAATCAGAGCAGCGGGCACTGTAATTCATCATTCTGCTTGTATTAAGAACATAAAAATTAGCACTTGGAAACTTTGATGCAAGTTGAAGGCAATGGATTAGCTTCCTTTGTTTGAATATTGTTGACTAAATTATTTCTTTGAAACTCTTCCTGTTGTGCTTGGTTTTATTCCACATGTTTATGTGGCCAGGTCCAAGGCTAGAAATAAGAGAGTTGTGTCAGACAGTAGAAGGCAGAATTTCTAATGTATTAATTTGTGATAAACTTCTCATGTTCCTTGTCATATTGCAGGCGTATCTCAGTGCAATTGTTATCTACCTTTATGCTGATGACTTTAAGCAAGCTGAGAAGTGCTATAATGACTGTTCTCAGTAAGTTTCTGACTCCTTGTAATTCTGCTAAGTGCTGCAAACTCAAAACAAGGTGTGATAGGGATCATTATAGCGTTGAAATTGTCATCATTGTTTTGTTGGGTCCTGCTATTGTTTTTTTTTTTCTTTTTATTGTCCACTAAGTTGTTCTAGTTCCTAGCATAACTCACGGGAAAGTTTCTGCTTTAAAAATGGAGACCTTTTAAATAGATGACTAAAGGGAATAATAAATGTTTGTGGTGTCTCTATGGGTTGATGCTTTCTCAGAAGTGACAAGATCGGTTTGTGCTTAGAAGCTACTTGCTGCCTACACAGATGGAGATGTTGAAGAAATCAAACGTATTGCTCAGTCGAGTGGTATTTCACATCTTGACCATGTGGTAAGTGATTTAGTACATGAGTTCTTATGGAACAAGAGTTAAGTGAATGTAAAACATAATGAATACAATCTAGCCGTAGAAACTTGAGGGCTTGTTGTCTTGATTGATAGGTATTTTCCTTTTATTGAATCCATAAAATTAAAATAAATCCCAGACTTTAATCCCAGTTTTTTATTTTCCGGTTGGTTTCAAGGGTACCTTGTATAGTACTTGATGATTGGTTGCCCGTACATTACTTTGCTTAAATCTCTTAAACCCTGAATGTATAATTCGTGGAAACAGTATGTCGTTAGACTTGTTTGATAGCATAACCAAATTACCAGATCCAAAGTAAATTGTAAAAGGGCCAAAGTAAATGTATGGGGGAAACAGCTGATACCAGATCCAAAGTAATTCGTGGAAACAGTATGTCGTTAGACAACTAGTTTTATATCAACCAGGTTCCAGAGCCAAAGTAAATGTATGGGGGAAACAGCTGATACCTGTTGTCTATTCTGAAAACTCCTGGCTTGCTCCAGAGTTTTTTTTTTTTGTAAACTCTACTCTCGCAATTTTCTGAGGAATACGGCCGTCCTATGTTCCAAGGTGCCTCGGTCTTGACATACAACCTGAGTCTCCTCAGTTTTTTAGTACGTCTGAAACATGTTCTTTCTTCACTCTATTGTATTCCTCCTATAGCCCATGGAGCACATGCACGGTAAACTACTTTGATGATGACTCAGTTCAAACTTTCTTATCGTATGGTCATTCACCAATCTGTCAGTGCAGTGGCCATCTTGATAACAAGGAAAAACTTACTTTCATGAGCTTCTCATGGGTTCAGCTGTTGTTGTGTCTTGCTATGCTTGCACCTGTCCTCTTTTTTAAAAACCTGCCCCTTGTTTGACATCCTATTTTTGCCATATCAACTGCTTTGCAAATTTTATGCGACATACACAATTCTTTAACCAGTAGCTACTGATGGTATTACTTTTATTGATGGAGTTTATATTATGTGGACTTATCTTTCATGACACTTGGAGTGCATGTCTGCAGATCATTAGGCTTGCGAGGAAACTTCCAACAGGTGACGTGAATGCATTAAAGGCTAAGAATGCTGCTGAAGAAGATGACCTCGATGAAGACGATCTGACTTAAACTCTGGTTGTGTTCTTATATGTGTTTATTTATAGGAGTGTTGATGAACCTATTTCAATTTGACGAGTAAATTGAATTGATCAGTATATATGGTTTTTGTATAAAAATATTTTGTTTCTTGCGGTAATGGCAGTGCAGGTAATAAGAGGGCAGAAGCTAATTTTTTTGTCACATGTTTTTTATTATACGTGTGATGTTAATACTTCAATTAGAATCTGACCACTCAATCTCACTTTAATAAGATTTATCTGATAGAAGATTAAATCATTTAATGACAAATACTAAGATGAATTTATAAATTGAAACTTTAAATCTCATATTTTATTAGAGAAAGTAATTGATGTGAATTCAATCAATGATGAGATGTCTCACCTTTCTTACAGAGTTTTTAAGTGATTAGTTTGTTTAAATAATAATTCAATCCTTTGCAAAATTGATTTCATCAAATTATGTTTTGGGTTATTCAATTAATAAAATTTAGTTTGCTTTTGTTCTAAGTTTTAATAAGGTCTAATTGGTACTATTAGTCTTTTGGAAGACAAAACAATGTATAGCTGAACGTGTTTAGCTAAATAATATATGGAAGAATACAATATGTTAGATTAATCTAATTCAAGCTTTTCTTAACTCTTTGATTTGATGAATTATGTGAGTATGGTTATTTAAGTTGAAAGCTAATTCAACCTTGTCATATTTCAATAGGTTAAGCGAGTTTACCCATAACTTCAACCCATCTTTAAATTCTACAATTCTTAATCGACCCAAATAAAGTTATAACTCCTGAAATGAAGTTAACACATTAAAAATTAACATTCTATTTATGTAATGCATGTGTATTTTTCTATAACAAAAATAATAAAATTATAATTATAAAAATAAATATAAATAATTTTTACAATTTAATTATAGATAATTTTTATTTATTCTGTAAATAATTTTATTTATTTAATAGATGATTTTATATATTAATTTTAAAAATAGGTAAATTAAAAAAAAAACAGTTAAATTTAAAAAGTCAGCTGAATTTAAATAAAAAGAAAAAAAAGGAAGTGAAATAAAAAAGAGTATATAAAAAATCGTTCTTTATATAAGTGTAGGTATATAGAAAGTAGTTAAAAAAACTAAATACCAAAATGAACTCAATCCATCCCTTAGAAAATAAAAGAAAAGACCACTCGAGTTTACGTTCATTGAAATATAATTATATAAGTGATAAAAACAGATACAGTAGAGAAAAATAAGAAAGAAAAAGGTAGATAAAGTTTTTTAGGCATTTATTATTATTTTTCAATTAGGATGATCATTTCACTTCCTTAACTTACATTTGATTTTACCATAAGTTTATATTATAAGGAAAATTGCTAAGATGGATAGAAAAAATAAAGAAGTATATAAGAAGTTGCATTGAATTCTTGCTTAAAAGTAATTAACTATTTGTGGGAAAAAAATAGAATGAAATACATACACAAATTGAGTGCCTCCATTTTTGTAAGGAACTAAACAGAGATTTATTGATAAATATGATTAAATGGTTAATGAAAAACCTTATCTTTCTTCTTTTCCAAGAAACACCATTCTTCCTCACAATCATGCAAAACCTCATCTTCTTCATCCTCATTCTAATAATGGTGGACCCCACATCTTCAACACCCTCTCCACCAACACAACAAATCAACAACATTCTCGATGCGCTTATAGGTAACCGAATTCAGCGCTGGGCTCCAATCCTCTCCTCCGCCAAAGGCACCCCTTCCGCTTCAGCGCCACCCTCTTATCCACGTGGACGCCGCCCTCGACCGTCCTCCGCCGGATCCCCGTCCTACTCCCTATCACGTCGTCCCCCAGCGCCTCCCCTCTCCGGACTACTCCTCCTGCCCCGCCGCGCCCGCTCCCTACCCTCTCGCCGCCAAAACCATCTCGTCAACGACAACTCCCACGCCAATCTTCTCCCTCGACAATACTCCCCTCACCCACCCCGACCTATTCTCCACCCCTTCCCTCGCGTCCACGCGCCAGTCCGTCCGCGGACTACTCTTCTTCGGCGACGGCCCTCCCGCCCTGCTCTCCCCCCGCTGGCCACTCCGTAGGACTTTTTTTTTTCTTCTGGGAAACTTCAGGCGCGTACTCCCTCAGGCTCCAGCCTCAACGGCGTCGTTATGCTACCCCTCTTCTCTTCGTTCTTCCAAACTGCGACTATGCAAGGTTTTTCCAATCTCTCGATTTCAAGAATATTAAAGAAATTGAGGAAGCTTTCGAAAACTATGATCACATCTTCGCCAAACGGGTAGTTTCTTCGATTTCTACTTCTCTGATGACAACATTTCTTACCAATTTCAAGAAACTTCTTACGTTTTTTCAGATTTCCATTACCAAATTACGTCTTCGTTTCTTTAGTTCTGCATGGGCACTACTTTTTTTTTTTGGTGGGTCCCACTTCCCTTTTTCTCTAGTACTTTAGACATTCAAAATTGGAAAACTAAGGATTGTTAAGTATTACTTTTTCAATTTTTAATTAATAATAAATTAGTTATATTTATTAAATAAGACGCTATTAGTTTCTTAGCATAAAAAAATTTCGACAAAAAGATGATTGACGAAGCTTTTTTTCTTTATCAGGGTAATAGTAATGATATATATATATATATATAAATATATATATCTATATATATATATATATATATATATAGCTATATAAATATATATAGATCTATATATATATTTAATTACGAAAATGAGATAGTTTGTAATTTTCGAATTTTTCATAATTACGTTTTTTTCATCATTAGTTAAATGTGTTATACTCAAATACTTACTAAGTTACGCTGATAAATTAATTTTTTTACAAAAAATAAAAAATAGTTAAGCTATAATAAATGAGATAAATTACAGAATTTATTTTTTTAGCAGCACAAACATAAGTTTTTAACTATGTTTTCTTAAATAAATAAGTCAACTTCTAACAACAATTTTTTTTTTCACAATTCAAGTCTAACATAAAAAATTCGACTTGATTCAATTATCGAATGGAGAGGGTGCTCACCTTATTAATTGATATCTTTTACAAGCTACTTTCAATTCATATTTTAAAATAATAACTTTATTATTTTTGAATTTTAAGATGTTTTCTCTATTGTATTTACTAACTTGTAAATATTTAACTTATTTAAATTTTAATACACTTGATAAATAAAGGCAATGAATTCTGATTTTAATATTTTCGTATTTTTTTCTTAATTTTTGCTTTTGATAATATGTAAAACATTTTGGATAATTAATCAATCCGATCTCAATTTTGGATAATTAATCAATCCGATGTCACAATTTGTTTTCCTTCCAAATAGCTATTTATTTTCATCGATAACATTTAAATTGTTCTTCAAAGCTATGTTATCTAACAATTTCACACATTATATAAATTTTTTCTAAATTTACTAAGATAATATGAGATGTCTTTAGACCATCCAAACCAAAATCTAAGCATAATAAAATTTTACTTAAAACCACACAATTAATATTAAAAATATATAATTATCCGAGCACTTAGATTTAAAACTCTCAATGAATTCTTTAAAGAATGTTGTGTAATGTGCTTGTAGACAATCCAATCACTAATATTTATTTAGTATTTGATACATGTTTAATAAAGTGAATCCAATGTTTCCATATTCGTGTTTAGTTGGACATAATCTCAATTATAATCCTTATCTCGATTGCATATTATTCTGCCAATCCCATTTAATTAATTGAAAAACTTAGAATAAAAGAGAAAGTGGACCTAAATTAGTTTTGAATACAATACGACAATATAGTTCAAATTTAATATTTCAAAATTTATATTTATTTAATCTTTTAATTTCTTCTGTGTCATTCGGATGCAAATTTATATCCAGATAATATAGTAAGAAATTGAATTTATGTGATATTGTTGTAGTTTTTCTTACTATAATGATGTAATTATTTACATATTTTACATAAATAGATATATTTTAAGTAAATTACGAAGATGGACAAATAAAGACAATCGTCTATAAAAGGTTATTCTATTTTTTTTTTGTCTTTCTCTAATTGTTTTAATAAAATAAAGAAAAAAAGTAGAACAATCCTAAAATTAAACAAGATTTGTTCATTTTGGAATTATGCTCGGACTCAGGATTTGTCCATCTTTATAAATAATCAAAATAGATGATCATGCTAAATACTCAATAAACACGAGGAGTTAGTTTCTTGGTCAAGTGAAAACACTCAATAAAAATTTATTATTGTTAATTTTAATTCAAAATAAAATAAAAAATAGTATGATGAAGCCAAGAAAAAATCTAAGTTTTATGCAAAACCATTTTATTTATGTTGCGTTTGATAGAAGGGAAATATTTAGTTTTCCACAATCCAATAATAGAAGTTTGATTCCAAGTATTAAAAAAATTGAGACATGAAATTCAATCTGTCTATCAGCTAGAGACGAATGAAATCTCGAACCTGCAGTTTATTAAACACAAGATTCTGTCATATTTAAAGCACCCCCTTTGGGTTCTAAGATGTAAGGATTTACTAATTCCGTTTTACTTGAGACTACTACAATCATACATTCAAAATTTTGAGCTGAAGCAATTGGACTTGAGCACCAAATGTCCCCATGAAATTTTCCCAACCTTTTATCATTTATTGTAACACCAGCATTTTTTCTTAGTATGTACAGAAATTTTGAGAGAAAAGGAATATAATGTAAACCTAAATGCAGCTACAGCTAATGGTAGACCTTAAAAGGCAAATTGTATACGAATGTTGGATAATGGAAAATGGGTCAATGGCTTTGTCCATCTGTATAGGTCACTGATGAAGGGCAAGTAGCAAAAATTTATCTCCTCTTCACCCACAAAACTCTTCAGTTTAATTTTTCTCTGAAAGAATGGATCTAACTATTATGACTAAATCAAATATATCTATCCAGACTCAAAGAATTGAGATCTTCATTTCTCATTGACAAGCTTTCCGGATCTCATCCATCAGTGCCATCAATGTCACTTTCCACTCACAGTACCATGCATCAGAGCTGAGTAACTTATGCAGTGTGCTTAACTCATCAGGACTTGCCCTTTGTAGTATTTGTTTCATCTCTTCAAAAAAGTTACGCTTAATCAAATTGATACCAAAAATTTTGGTATTGATATCACCA